GGCGTCCTCCACCCTCCCCTGGGTGCTGCGTATTCCCCCAAGATTATTGGTCGCCTTTACAGCTGCAATATCGTCTTGACCGGATTTTCTATTGTCATTTGCTTCAATGACACGTTGGTACATGACTTCGGCTTCGTCAAACCTCTCCTGCAAATAGAGCACGGCGCCAAGAGAGTTCATCAACCTTAGAATCTCTGTATCACTCTGATCGAGAACTTTCTCCTTTCCTTTAAGAGCCCGCAAGATCATGGCCTCAGCCTCAGCTAATTTTGTCAAGTCCCAATAGAGTTGCGCCAGGTATCTGACCGTATCCAGCGTGGACAAGTGGTCTGCGCCCAATATTTTCTCTTGTTTCTCAAGCGTGCGACGAAGTACAACTTCGGCCTGGGCCAATTTGCCCTGTTCGGTATAAAGCTGCCCCAGTCTGCTGACGACTTCAAGGATTTTTGAGTCGTTTAAACATTCCAACACAGAAAAATTTTCCTGGAAAAAGGGCAGCAATCTATTGGCATGAGGCAGGAGGCGTTGTTGTAAAATCCAAAATTTCTGTTCGTTAGTGGATGGAATGGCATTGCATATACACGCAAATGCAGCGATATATATGCTCTTGCAATTCTTAGCGCTTTTAAGATAACCTTGACACCACTGTTGGACCACGGGATGCATCGAATAGCCCTCTGCGTTCTCCTTTTTCTCGACAAATGAATAATCTGACAATGTTCCGATAACGGTATAAAAGTTGACTTCGTCAGAAACAATTTCTTCAAACCATTCTGGAGCGTCCCAGCCACTCTTTCCGTGCTCTAACAATCCATACCAAATATCTTGGTTATCAAAGGATGAGAGAAACAAGAGAAGCGTTGCAGCAAGTTGGTCTGTCCGCGCGATTTCTCTATATGAGATAGTCAAAGAAGTACTGAGGTTGCCGTTTGAATAGTCGCGAGGCCCCCTTTTGCCCTGGAGTCGGCCCCATTCTTCTGAATACAATTGAGCATACCTTGCGACTTTCATGCCCGTGCGACTGATATAAGAACCGGCAAGGACTATCGCTAGAGGCAAGCCATCGAGCTTCTTGATAAGTTCTAAAGTTTCTGTGTTCCGTGTAAGAAAGCGTGTTCCTCTACAAGCTTATGAACATAACTTACCCGAGTTCCAATCGTCGTTTTCATCTTTGAACACGCTGGATTTGCCGCTCGCAGCAAGAAGTTCCAGTGCATCGTCCTGCGCCATCGTTCTTAGATGAATGAAATCTCCGAGTTCCTGAAGCTGTCGTAGGCGGGTCGTGATAATTATAGCACCTTGATCAGCTCCTGGAAAGAAATCCTCAACTGGAAAAGCCTCATCGTCTTCCACTTCGCCCGAAGGATCTTTGTCAACATTGTCAAATATGATCAACCATTTATTGTTTCCCTTGAGAGCAAACCAGTTTAGAGCTTCCTTGGCCCTTTTTTCGATGCCCTTGCTGTCTTTCATATCCTCCACAATGGCTTCATCATTTTGATCAGAGGCAAGTCTACGGGTGACTGATGCCAGAGAATGAAGAAGCATTTCTCGAGTCTTTCCACTAATCCAGAAAATAGAACTGAAGCTCTCTTGATATCTCCTGGCAAATTCAATAGCCAGTTGAGTCTTTCCAATACCACCGAGTCCTTGTAACACAACGACTTTGCGCCGGTTGAACTCGTTTGAGAGGAGAAGTTCCCGGAGTTGTGCAAGTTCTGAGACGCGCCCAATAAATTGAGCAGTATAGCGGATTCCTGTGAGATCGAAAGGAACAGTAAATTCAGAGTCAAGTGGTTCTAGAGGCAGCCAAGTAAAAGACGGTTAGCTTTTAGTGGTGCTAACGTCTACTTAACGACGGCGAGGGCTGCATACCCGCTTCTGGTAAAGGGGAGCTTTGCTGGAATCTCTGCGACAAGTATTAGATTACGATTTATACATTCGGAATGTTCTTACACGAGCTCCAAAGGATGTAGGGTGGAAACGTACTTGAATTGCGTTTTCTATATCTTTCCCAGCGTTTACTAAGTTGGCGACCATTATCAGTCACTGGGCATCAGATTAAGAGTGTAATCTAAGCAAAACTCTCCAGGTACACACTTTCTTTCTTCAGAAGATTTTGAACACAGCTTTGGATTTTGAACTTTTGTTCTTGGTGATGTATGTAGTCGTCAGCGGCAGCTTCAATCAGTCCCTGCGCTCGATATTCAGCGAGGTCCAAATTCTCTATGCCATGGTCCACGGAAAATCGAAAATATCGGCCCTCCTCATAATGTCCACGCCAGCGTGCAATAAAGTCTTTAGCTGTAAATTCGGTATCCGTAGTAAGATCCACCAGAGCCTGCGCAAATTTCGCCGCGTTATAGTCCAGCGCGACCTTTCCTGTGTTGCCGGTCCCAATGGAAACAAAGCATTTTACCAGTGGTTTCAGGTCTCCAGATTTGGGACACCATATATTCGAAGCTTCTTGTTCGACCTGATTCACTGGGTTGTTCGCTCCCACACCCCCGTCAACAAAAGTCCGAAATCCTATAGTGACAGGGTCGAAGAATGAGGTGGCCGCCGAAGTCGCAAGGGCCGCTTCGACGATCGTTGGTTTAATGTTTAGTTCATCGGGTATAGTATAACTCCTAAGACGCTTGACCTCCTTAGTATCCTTTGAAGTTGCGCAGACAAATCTAGGGAGGTCTAGGTCAGTAAAGAATAAATCCGAAAATGCGACTCGTGTCGTAGACATCTCACACTTTGCATCCGCGGGAGACACCGTCGTCCAACATTTCATTTTCGGCAACATTGCGCTCTTTGAGGACTGCACGGACTGCGCGTTCAAGATTCTTTGAGTCGAATCGTCCCTTTATTCTGGCCTTACGATCAAGCAAAAACCAACTCGAGCGTTCCCGAAAGATTTCCTCCGAAATCTGGGAGAACTTGCTGATACATTCGTCGACGTCCATCTCTAGTCGACCAAGCATAATGGCCATGAGGCTACGAGTGTCAGGTACAGTGTTAACGTTGATCCGATCTCCTATCCTTACCCGCCCGTACTAGTACCACCGATAAGGTCAAATATCTCACAAGGCTTTGCTGGTGGTTTCCCCTCTTGATGGCGCTCATAGTTTAGTCTGCTCATGATGCCTTTGAGTGTATACAGAGCTGCAAGGCCACGCACACCGCCGCCATCTGTCCACAGGTGTTAGTGGTTGGCCTTGAGGAGAGTTCCGCGGCATACAGTCCCATACCAAGCGAAAGCAAACATAAGCCTTGAGAGTCAAGGGGATTAGATGCGCCACCCACAGCTTGTTGGGCCTGCTCCATAGCTTCAATTTTCCTCTGTGATCAGTAAAGACGAAACACTTGGTGGGCTGAATGGTTAAATTGCCGAGGAGCGGTAGGCCTCTTAATATGTACGGGAGAGGCATGGGCGGCAGACGAGCACTTCGCTTCCACAGCCTCCATTCAACGAGGCTCTTTTCCCACGAAAGCGGGGCATTCGTATGCGGAGGTCGTTGTTATTCGCTAACAGTGCATAACTCCCATCACAAGATGAGGGCCTTACTAGCAAGAAAGGCGATTGGAGCCCCATCTAGTGCCAATCAGCCCATCATGATGTAGACAAAGTCTTCGTGAAAACGTGTGAGCTGAGCATCCTAGAAAAGGGCCTTCCGGCGAGTTTAGACAATCGCATTTTGCGGTCATTGTAACTTGGCTCCATACTCCGTACTCAAACCCCAAACTCAAGGTTGTTCCCGTTAGTGTGGCGTCAAGCCAGGGACTGGGGAAATTCTGTCCTGAACTGGCTTCCGCCTGGTGAGGGATGGTTGATCTCCCCCTCGAGGTGATTGGCCTTTATGCCGAGTCTACAGAGTACGGAGTAAGGTAGTTCACCACTAAGCGAGCCACACCACTAAACAAGCCAAATCTTCCACCACCAAAATTCCTCCAATGTTCAACATTCAATATGCAACAACATGGTCAACAACACCTCAATTAGGCTTGCAATTGAAGATCTTGAATCACAAGAGACCTTAAATTATGCTGCAACCACAAGAAAGTACTCAGTTAACTGAGAGACCCTGTGCTGACAGCATAAAGGCTTGCAACTTGCTCAGAATGAAGCAGTCTTCTGATATAAGAAAAAGCTCTCTGATATACAGAAGGCAGAGCTTCTGAATTATATAAACAAGCTCTCTAGCTGCAGTCTTGCCATTACATCTCAGATCCTACAAAATATTGTACAAGAGATGACAGGAGAGGATGTTGAGATTAACTAGATTAATTAATTTTGTGAGCAGCATAATAACAAGATCAAATGCATTTATCTCAAAGCAATTAATCAAAATAGACAGATAGCAGATAACTATCAGTACTTTAAGCACTTCTATATGCTTGTAATTTGATGATTTATTTGATTACTTGTAATTACAGTTGTTGATGCTGGCTAACTATTTGACTACTACTTATAGAATAGTGTGAGGATTGTATGTGTGGATCAGCGTGACAATGAATCTCTAGGAGGAATATACATGGAAAAGAGTATGTGAGGTAAAAGATCTGTATTCTGGCAACTATATATGACTTGTAAACAAGATTGCCACTGGCTTCCAGCAAGGGGTTTGCACAGTGATGGCCTTTTATGTGTGCTTGCAAGCATGTGACTTAGTGCCTCACAAGAACACATGCAACTTCCAGCAGCTTGTGAGCTGAGGCCTCTGGCCTTCACAGGTGCTGTTTGTCTGTGTAAGAGATTTATGGTGAATTCTTACAGATTCCCCCCCCTTGTAAGCCTTGATCCCTCAAGGTGGCTGTCTTGTTAAAAACCTTCATGAGTAGAAAAACAAAAAACCTCTTGGGAAAAATAAAAATTTCCTTATAAGAAAAAGAGTACAGCTTCACTAGAGATGTGATATCAACACAACTCTAATAACATAACAGAACTCAATAACACAACAATGTGTAGAGAGTCTCTATTGTTCTTGCTAACCCTGTGTCACTATTAGATAATGAACACTAGCTTAAGAGAGAGCTTTCTCTTGCTTTCTCTTTCTCTTCTTTTCTTCTCTTCCTTCTCTAGCCTATATTACTATTACCAAGGTAAGTGAACCCTTCAAGCACTGCTTCATGTGGGAGACAGGCTTGTGGGAGATCTCTGATGTTCTGGAAGAAAAATGGCTTCACTTTGATATTCCACATGATTAGCTGAAAGATCACAAGCTGATGAGTTCACCTCTGGTTATGTCTTTGCTTCATGTGGCCATTAGATTTTGTCTTCATATGAGGTTTGATTCATGAAGAGACTGATGCTTGCTAGCAGTTGCTGCTGGTGTGCAGTCTTCTTTCTCTCTCTCTTGTAACTTGTCTCTGCTTTTCTCTCTTGAGAGGACCCTCACCTTCTCTTTTACAGATGAGATTGGGCCTTTGGTGAGTAGTCACAAGAAGTTTAGAGAGTGTTTGTGACTGACAGTTCTAGAGTATTATTGTTCCCTCTCTTCCTCCTTCACCAGTTGTTACTATTCTCTCCACACCAGCTCAAGCTGTAAGTGCTTCTCACAAGCTGACATTGATTTGTGTGCTGATAAAGTTAGAATTCTGCTGCTCTGCCTCCTCTTTCTGTAGTTATTGCTCCAGCCCTGACTGAAAATGTGAGTATTCTTTATTATATTTCAGTTTGCAGCTAATCTTCTTTAGATTATTGTTGTTGTTTTCTCTACACCAGCAGAGTTTGTGGGTGCTGTAGTTCTGTGGGGTGCTTGAGACTGCCCAGCACCCCCCCCACAAGACTGACAATGATGGTTTCAGACCATCTTCACTCAAATGCCATCAGCTGCTACTTTTGCTGATGTGTTGCAGACTAATCTGGTGGTTCTTTCAGACCTTCTCTCTCACACAGGAGCACAAGCTTTGTCTGCCTGTAAAAGAACATGATATTGTAAGTCTATTTAAAGGCCTGTACTTATTGCTGGTTTAGATAATCTAAACCAGTTGACTGTGCACACTCAGCTCTGTAAGAAAATTCTTATAACTTGAACTGGGGCCCAGCCATCATCTGAACAGAAGTGCTCTGCCTGCAAGAGAGCTCAGCAAGACTATAATAATATAGTCTTTGCAGAGTGCATCTTCACAGGCTTGGATCAAAAATATAACAACTGCCTATACTGTGGGCATCTTGCTTGCTCTTTCCAGCAGTAAGATTATGGGTAGTTGTTACAGGTCTTTGCAGAAGAAGCTGGAGGCTCTAATTATATAGTCTTAGTTTAGTTTTTTCTTCTTTTGTTTTGAAATCAATTGAATTCAGTTCAGTTTAACTATGCCTTTTCTCTCTCTAACCCATTTTCTAGTTCCACTACCTCCATCCATCTCTTTTGTGAACCAGGCTTGTCCAGGTTCCTACTATAAAATTGTTGAAGTAGCTTTCTCAGTGGATGAACATTACTTGTGGAAACTCATGTCTTGTCCTTCTTATTATCATATTCTTCTTAATATACTCTATACTACAGCTTGTGACCCTCTCTCTTTAAGTTAATTATTTTGCAGACTTGATACTTCTTTTCATCCTCATTCACCTTGTAAACTTTATGATGAGATGAGCTATTGATTTCTTCACAGATCTTGTGTTTGTGAAGCAGAAATATATAGAAGATATCATAAGTTTACAGATCTGGAGACAGTTCCAGTCTATAGACTTGCAAGCCTATCTTCTCCACAATTCTACAAGGCCCATACCTCAACAAATCCAGTTTTTTGTTAGGCCATGTGGTCTTGATATTGCAAAGATTAAGCCACACCTTGTCTTCCATCTGGAAGATCTTTGTGGTGTACTTCTGATTATAGTACTTCTTCTGGTAAACTTGTGCCTTTGTGAGTGATTTCTTGGCCTCTTTACAGAGCAATCTCATTGTCTCCATCTGATTTCTTGAATTCTTGCACACATAGTCATACTTATCAGGATCCAAGAATTCTGTTTGCAGATTCAACCCATATGTCAGCTGAAAAGGTGATTTCTGTGTGGAAGTCTGTTATGAGTTATTGTACACAAACTCAGTCATTGGCAATCACATCATCCAGTTATCTTGATTATAATTGACATAGCTTTGCAGGTACTGCTCCAGCACACTATTCAGTCTCTCAGTCTGACTATTAGTTTATGGGTGGAATGCTGTGCTCATTGCTCTTGTGATCTTCAAGATATGAGTCAAATTACCCCAAAATTCACTCATGAACAGAGATCCTCAATCTGTTACTATGCTTGCAGGTAATCTGTGCAATCTCACTATCTTGTGAATAAAGAGATGGGCCAATTTCTCTGATGTCAGCTTCTTTGTTGTAGAGATAAAGTGAGCTATCTTTGTGAACTGGTCCACTACAATCAGAATACAGTTAAACTGCATCTTCTCAAAATTCAGACTTGCAGAGAGATCTGTAATAACATTCATGCTAATGAATTCTCAAGAGTAATTTGGGATTGGTAAGAATGATAGTTCTTCTTGAGACTTCCTGCAAACTCTTCTTGAGCTCTGACAGACTCTACAGGCTTTGCAACACTTCTTTACCAGTTCTCTCATTCTTGGCCAAAAGTATTTGTAAGCTATAAGCTTGTACATTCTTGCTGTAGCAAAATGCTCTATAAGAGGTAGATCATGATGATATCTAATCAGCTCTATTTGCAGAGCCTCATTCTGAGAGATGTACATGTAACTATCTCTATAGAGAATACTCTTCTCCTCTTTTCACATCATGAATTTCTTTGTGCCTGCCTTAATGTCTTTGCAGACCTCAGCTGCATAGTTATCACTTTGCAGTAGATTTGACAGTAATGCCAACAGGTTGAAGCTGCTCTTTTTATAAGAATTCTCCTTACAGATCAGATCTTTGATCTTCTGGACCTGTATTGCAATCTTCTTCACTTTGCACATGCCTCCCAAGACAATTTTTGTGAGTAGTTTCTTGATCTCAATCTGAAGCTTTGTGAAGATAAGTTATGCATTCTCATCTTCTCCCTCTCCTCTCTAGTTTGGAGAAACTTGAACTGTTGATTTCAACTTTTCTGTGGTCTCTTGCTTCTTCACAAGCATTATTCTTAGTTGATTTGTAGTCTTGTGACCCTTCTTATCATCTAGACCAGTCTTCTTGATATAGTCAGGTCTTTACAAGAGTCCATCTGCCAGATTCTTAGTTTCTTTCACATGGTCAACTGTAAATCAAAAGACTATCAGTCTTTGTGTTCAGTGGACCTGTCTTTGCAAGAGGTCTTGAGCAGTCTGGAAGTAGCACAAGCTATCATGGTCTGTAAGAACTTGAACTGGTGTTTGCAAGCCTTCCAACCAGCAGTACCAATATCTAAATGACTCCATAATTGTGAGCAGTTCCTGATCATAAATGCTGTAGTTCATCTCTGTGGATTACATCTTCTGTAAATAAAACCCAACTAGAATCCAGATGCCATTCTTTGCCAGCTGTAATAGAATACCACACACTGTGAAGCCAGATGCATCTGTTTCCAATCTGGTCTTCCATTCCATATCAAAATAATGAAGCATAACAGCTTCCACAAATGCTCTTTTCAGACTTATGAAGGCTTTGTGATCTTTCTCAGTTATGAAAGTATTGGCTTCTCTCCTCATCTCTCTTCACACATATCTGCTTAGCTTTGCTTCTCCTCCCTTTAGAAGAGCAGTCAGGCCACAGGCTATCTTAGAGAATCTTGGGATGAAGTGCCTGTAAAAGTTTGTGAATTCTAAGAAGATCTGAACCTCTTTCTTACTGATTGGCTCTGGTCAGTCAAGAATAGTGTCCATGTGGCTCTTCTCCATAAGAACACTCTCTGGTGTTATGATATACTCAAGATAGTCAATCTCACAAGTATTGAACTTGCACTTTGCCAGCTTGTAATAAAGATCTGCATTCTTGAGTGCCTTAAGTACTAATTTCACATGCTCCTCATGGTTCTCCTTGCAAGCTGAGTACACAACCACATCATCAAGATAGGCTACTGTGAACACATCCAGATATTTGCTAAGTGCCTTCACAATATATGATTGGAAAGCTGCTGGTGCATTTGTGAGTTTAAAGAGCACTATCAAGTACTCAAATAGCTTCTGTGAAGTTCAAAATGCAGTCTTTCACTCATTCTCTTCACAAATTCTCAGTCTATGGTAGGCATTCTTGACATCCAACTGAGTGAATATTGCAGCTTCCACAAGCTTATACAACACATCTTCAATCAGTAGTAGAGAATATCTATTCTTGACTGTTTTTGAATTCAGATCACAATAGTTCACACACATTCTTAGTCTGCCATTCTTCTTGAACACAAACAGGATAGATGCTCCTGCAGATAACTTAAAAGATCAGATAAACCCATGAGTTAGAGTACTGCTCAGATATTTGTGAAGAGTCTCTTGCTCAGCTTGCAAAAGTCTGTATATTCTTCCAAATTCTGGCTGCTTTTCTGGTTCAAGATCTATGGCCAAATCATCTTTACAGTGTGGTGGCAGCTCCCAAGCTCTCTTGTCACTAAACACTTCTGTGAGTTTGCAGTAGACTTCTGGTATCTGGAGATCTAGATCTGCTGTCACTATCTGTTCTGATTTGTGGAGAGTCATCATATAGATGAGCTTCCCTCCTTTCACAAGCTCTGAGAGGTTAACTGGTTTAACCTTCACAAGCAGGTCACAACATACAGTTTGGAACTCTAGCCTTAGTTTCTTGAAATACATTTTGGGATTGTATTGCTGCAGCCAGCTCAAACCCACTAGCATCTCATCTCTTATATTTGCAACCATCACTTGTTCATGGAACAACTGCCAGTTTCTCTGAGAGTTACAGGCTTTAAAGAATATATTCACAATCCCTTCTGCAAGAGTAATATTCTCATGATTTATAGCAGTTTCAATCTCTATAGACATCTTGTGCACCTCTAGATCTAGCTTTGTGGCCAATCACAAACTGATCACTAGAGATTGACAGCCTGAATCTATTAGTGCTGACCAGATAATACTTCTGTCAGTTGGGCTTCACACACCTAGAACAATAGAGGGGAGAGCAAGGAGACTATTCTTGAACAACTTCATTATATTAATCTTATCTACTTACAGCTTCCCAACTTCCTATTTGCTACTCTTCTTCTTCTTGGGACAGTCTTTTGCAAGATGGCCTTTTTGGCTACACTCAAAGCATCTCTCATTCTTTTTCAAGACTTCACAATTCTTGATAAGATCCTTCCCCATCTCCTGAGCAGGCCTCTGGAGTTAACTTCTCTTATCCATTCATGGTCTTGAGTCATTGATCTTCATACCTCCACAAGCACTTCCAACTGGATTGGTAGACTTCATGTGTGAGGCATTCTTTGCATAGACTACTGATACACTTGGTTGGAGCTGGGTGGCCAGTGCTACTATGTTATCAATGTCATCTGGTATCTCCAGCTGTTCATCCAGTTTGGTTTGCATGGGCTTATTCAAGCCCCATATAAACAGGTTCTTCTTCATTTTTATGGAATCTTCAAATTCTTCACCAATCTCTGTTGTGAGCTCTAGAAATTGTTGATAATAGACATAATTAGTTTCATTCAAACTTTTGCAAAGGCCAAAGATTGCTTGCCAAGAGTTTTGTGTGTGGTTTGCTGGATCTTCTAGCCTTACATATAGAAATTCTTTAAGGCCAGTCCAGTTGTTTTTTGATGGATTGCCTTTGTGGTGGGCCTTCTAAAGGTCTTTCTCAATATAATCAAGTCCTGTGAGAGCATACACAAGAGTATTCTCATCATTCAGTTTGCTTGTATTGTGAATGGATTCAATATCTGAGATGAACTGATGATATTCTGTGTAGGTTCCAGTCTGGTAGTGCTTTGTGTGTTGTGGTGATCTCAAGATTGACAGACACTTTGTGGGTGTTGGGTTGAAGGTAGCTATATCAAGAGATTCACTTTGTAAGTACTTTTGGATGTTCTGGAGAGCATTCAACTTCTCTTGCCATTTCACCATTTTCTTTAGTAGCTTGGTCTTCTTACAAAGCTGTTGGATTTTATCTTTTGGTGTTGGGGTAGACTCTCTCTCTGAGTTTATGGTGCTTGTTTCATTGACAGTTGAGAGAGGTGAGGTGTCAAGATTGATTATCTCTTCATAAACTTGGGTTTGTTCTTCAGATAGGTTTTCAGCTGGTGTTCCAGGTTTGTGAGTTTCAGAGGGTTAGCTTCTTCATGTTAATACCATTGTTGGGTGTCACCAAAGAAGAGTGGCAAAATGTGAGGATCATACATGTGGATCAGCATGATAATGAATCTCTAGAAGAAATATACATGGAAAAGAGTACACAAGATAAAAGGTCTGTATTCCAGCAACTATATATGACTTGTAAACAAGATTGCCAC